AGGACCAGGCTGAGCTGTGGCCAGCAATATGGGGTGTTCTTGTACTGTTATATACTTGTAATTGCATAGCAAAGGAATTCAGTGGTTATTCTTAAGAAACCAGGACCATTACTAACATCATCTGAGTAACTTGACCAGCCTCTGAAAACCTACCTTGTCAAGCTTTCAAGTATCTAGTCTAATTGTGTGCTGTTTCTGTGTGTTTATTTTGCTAGCTCTACATATCTTGAACAGAATAGGAAGAAAAAGCCTAATGGGAAGTTTCTGAAGCATCTTCATGGTGCAGGGTAATAATTGTATTATCCTTCAGCTGGGAAGTTCCACTCTTCCTTGTATCTCATATATGTTTCTTAGAAGCATCTGTTGATTGTTAGGTGGCCATGAAACAACTTTCAAGTTAACAGGAGAGGTTAGTTGGTATTTTCTAAAACCAAAGCTGCTCTAAATTCCACCTGTGGCATGTCTAAAATTCAGTTGAAGCATCAAATATAAAATAGTGAAATTCAGAAAGACCCAGGAGTGACTTATTCTAATGGTCCCATAACACAAGAGAAAGTATTTATGGGAGGTCGGTAGGCTTTGAGAACAGAGGAGAATCACCATGCAATGCGCTTACCCAGTGATAAATTCCTGCCTTATAAAGTGTTATCGATTCAGTTTAGCAGGGGCAGACACACCTGCCATCACCTTCCTCAGTTAAAAGTTGTCTGAAGTCCTGTTTTCATACGGTTGTTAATATTTACACAGATGTGGACTGATAAGCTTTTCTGTTGTACTCCTGTATATTGCTCTTGCTGCTCTGGGTGTGTCTGTTCCTCTTCATGTTTTATGCTAATCTCATTAATCTAAGTGCTCACACTTGCATTAGCAACAGGCAGAAGCTGTTTGTGACAGTGGGTGCAGGAAAAAGCCTGGACAGCCGTTGACAAATGGTCCTAGTTAGCAAAGCTCTGTGCATCTTTGCCTAGCAGGAGGTGTTGTATCACTTAGTACAAGCTGTGGAGGTGCACTTTCTGTGAGCATAAATATGTAAGTCTTTCGAGTAATGTGCTTTAGGCAGAGCATGCCATAATAATCTGACTTGGTTCCTTCCCAGATTCCTGGTGGGGTTTTAGCAAGATGCCTAGAATTTCACTGTAATGTCAGTTGTAGGAAGCATGTGGGATTGGTCCTGCTTTGCTGCTATAATTTGCTGCTATTCATAGTATGGTACATGGTTATATGCCACTTTTAGTTATTTTAGACAGGCTGCCCTTCCATCTCCATAGAGCTGGCACTGATGAGCAGGGCATGCTGCATCTAGCCCAGCATTTGTTCATGTTGGGACAGAGAGTTAAATATGAACAGCATCAAGAACTTAAACTGAGGTTCAACATGAGGAAGGGCTGATGCAGGTTTTCAGTTACATTGCCCAGATCAATCCAAATTCTGCTTGATATCTGCTGGAGATAAAGATCCCATTTAAAGGGTGGAATAGGAAGGAAAGGGTCTGTCTGCATACTGGAAAAATAGTTGAGATGAGAGTTTCCCATATTGTCCTGGGGAATAAACAAACCTTTTGCCAAAAAAAGTTCACTCCCATCGACTATGGTGATTTAAGTTAATGCATTGAAATTACGCCAAGAACCACCAGTCAAGAAGCCCCCTCCTTAGCAGAGCTCAGATTAAATGCAAGTGGGCCTCTCTGACCTGACAGCCAAGTCCTCCTCCTGCCCTGATGAGAACCAACCATGGACACGCCAGATACAACACTGGTGTGTTTGCCTGGTAGATAGTGTAGACGGTTGGACATCTGGAGCCGGGGCTGCCTGCCCTGTGATTTCTGTGTCATCTTGTGGCTGCTGTGAAACCAAACAGGAACAGGTAATAATTCAAACCGTCGCTCCTGCTATCTGGAGTTGTCACCCCTGGGGATCGGCTGGGTCTCTGAGGGCTTGGGAAAATGATCCTGAAGGTCAAGGGGAGACGTGCTTGGGCTCCTCGGTGCAGATGAAATGATAATGAACTCTGTGGAAGGAGGGGAGGACCATTTGAGGCTTTTATTATCCCTGAAGCCATGAATCATCCCAAATGCTAATCCTCAGGCATACAGTCAGCAGATCCGGGCTGCTGTGTGCCAGCCTGCTCTGTCTGAAGGCATGCAGCGTGCAAGGAGCTGTGCCCTGTTTCTCCCAGGACTTTTACATTTTTCTAGGATTATTTCATGCTTTATTTTACAGTTATGCAGGGAAAAAAAGCCCATCCCTCGTCTGGTTTCTCAGAGACTTTCAGGCCTTATAAGTCCATTTTGATAGACTCTTTCCAGATGCAGATGGATTGGATGGTGTGTCTGAACCTCAGGCTATGAGGTTGGGTCCTTTCACAATGCAAGTCCCAATGGCCAGCTTGGCCTTGTTAAAGAAGTGTATGCTCTGCTGTTGTTACAAGTTGGATGTATTTGTAGGTTGACACAAGAACAGAGAAGGTCCAGCTCTGCTGTAAGTTGTCACTTGCCTGCTAATGAACTCCACCAGAGCCTGTGCTTTGGCATCAGTGCTGGTGGGACGTTCCCAGTGACATGGCATAAACGTGATTGCAGCCCTTTGGTCACTGTATGCCCTAGCTCAGAGCCCACAAACCTTGGGGAGGTTGGTGTGCTGGCTGGCTGGTGCTTAGTTTACACTCAGTGGTAGACATTTCCATACTGATGAGCTACTGCTCATCGCTCAGGCTAAACTGATGTCCTCATTTTGGCATGTGACAAGGATAAAGTAGGTTGCTACTCTACCATGTCCAGAGGTAATGGACCCAAAAAACAAATGGGAAGGCGAGTAGCCCTGCTGGAAGCCACGAACTGTGCAAAAGGTGGCATTTCAGAGCATGGTAGGATGCAGATGCTGGGATCCGTGGCACCTCTTCAGTATCAGTGAGGGGGATGCTACTGGACCCATAATGGTTGGTGAAGGAGAGCTTGGGACCTCTCCACCTGGCTGTAGTCATAACAGCTTGGGAATCACCTATCTCCCCACCCAGCTCCTCTGCTGGAGCTCAGCCTTTGCCTCCCAGTATCAGCTTCCTTAGTGCTTCAGCCCTTGCCTGGGTGATTTGTTGTTTGCTGGCAGTGAGGTTTCTAAATACAGGTTTAAAGGTCAGCATTAAACCTCCAATTGTTAATTTTGTGAATTTGAGAGTCTATATCTGAAGGAGCAGCCCTTTTGTTTGGAAAATAAACTATTTTGTTATTGCTTCCTTCCTACTCTGCAGTATTTCCCTGCCATTGCAGTTAGGAGTCAGGCTTAAAAACAGGAGGAAATGTGTATTTTAATAATGGATTATCCTGTTAGTATATGATTGAATTTGGAAGGAACCTCAGTAGGTCATTTGGCCAAATCTTCTGTTTCAGGACGAGTCAGCTGTGAGATCAAGCCAGGTTGTTCAGGCACTGTTTCTTTGGGTTTGGAGTGTTTTGTTCTGGTTTCTCGGGCCTCAGGAGGGTGTGCAATGTCTGCATGTTCATGCATCCCTGCAAAACCCTCATAATCTACTTTCTCCCTGCAAGCTGAGATGTCCTGCAGCCGTTTGATCCCTTAAAAATGGGCTTTTAAGGGGTGAATAAAAGCCCCTCGGCTTTTGTGAGCATTGGCTGTATTTGAACGTTGGGAGGAGAGATCCTGATTCTCTACCCAGCTGTCCCCCTTTGTGGTGCTTGGGTGCTGGCCAGCGTGCAAAGAAAAGTGCATATTCCTGGCAGAAGAGTGCTGGCCCGGCAAGCAGCTCCTTGTGCTAATTGACCCCCTTCTTGGCAACTTCATCAAAGACATGGAAGAATAAATAGGCTGTTGATTGAACTGTTTCCTCGTCCCCAGAGGTGGTCCCTCCTAGTCAGGGGTAAGGCACATTGTCAGGGCTGGGGAAGAAGCTTGCAGAGCGGTTAGCCTGTGCTCACCAAGGAACAAAAAGCTTTCATTTACTGTGCTTTCCACGTGACATCTGCCATGTGGGATGGAAACGTTGCAGTGGTTTGCTGCAGAGCTTGGTCTGTGGTGCCCACAGAGCAGGTTTCTGTGCTCTGGTCCACTCTGCTGATGCACAGGATGATCATTTTGAGGGAAGAGGGGAATATAGCTCAGATAGAATCTCTTGTAGTAGAACCTGATGAAAACAAAGGTTAGAAGCAGGAAAGTATCTTCAAGGAAAGCTTGGATGCAGAAGTAGAGGCGGGTGCTGATGGATGTAACTGGTGCATTCTTCACATAGAAAAGTCATGTTGGTGCTTGCTGGCGCTGCTGCGAAGGCACGCAGAAATCCTGCAGAAATGAGGCATGCAAGTTTCAGCTGATAAATTAATGGAGCATATAAGGAGAAAACATTAACCATTTTATTTAAAACCTCCTTACAGGCATCAGTATTCAGCTGGGTTTTGGTGACAAATTGCAGTCGCATGCTTCAACCCCTTTTATTACATTCCAGGCAGGGTCTGGAGTCCAAAATATTTAACCTTTCTGTAGAGTGAGCAGTCCAGGAGAACTGTTTTCAGTGAAAATATATTTAAGTGTATGAACTTTGTTTTGTAGCCGATCGGTGTTAAACTCTGAGATTTGACAAGTACCATACTGCTTCCTGATAGTTATTGTCTAGCGGTAGGATTTTAGCTGAAGATAGAGCAAAATTTAGCACTTTTAGACTTGCTTTTGGACAGAGGTTTTTCTTTTTGCAGCCCTTTCAGGGCTCATTCTGCACTCAGCAAATAGAGTGAGTGTGTGGAAAATAAATATTGATATGGTGCTTCCGCCTCAGTGGCCTGAGCATCACGTGTCTGCATAATGAGTTACAACAGGAGCCTGCATGACACCATATACATCACTGCCATGTGAGAGGGCCTATAGAGTTACATTGCTGTGACAGCCTGATATGGGGCAATGCACTGTGTTCCTGGGTAGCAAATACAACCCTTTCTTTCTGCTGGAGCTTATGATTGCATCCATGATTCACTAACAGTGACTGCCATTTTTGGTTTTTAGTGATGAAAACACTAGGAAAGACTTGAAGACACTGCCTGTTTTTCCTACCAAGACACTGCAGGAACATCCATCACTTACTTACTGGTGAGCTATTGAATTTAAAATGTCAATCATTGTTATAAGTGGTAATGACAAGATCACTTGTAAACAATTTGCCAACTCTGTTGAGTTTTCAGTCTGTATAATATAGGAGTTGGAGTTAAATTCTTGTGTTCAAGCATTTCCAGTTTCTAGGTCATAAATTAGGCAAGATCTGATGCAAATCTCTCATTGAAAGTTTGCTCAGATTAAATTGCTGGATCAGAAACTGACGGATCAGAATATGTGAGGACCATGCGTTAGAAAGAGCTGAAATCTGAACTCCAGCCAAGCCTGGGTTTGCAAAGAGCCCCTTGCTCTTCACCCATCACACAGAGGAGCCTCTGTGGTGGGTTGACCTTGGCTGGCTGCCACATGCCCACCCAGCTGCTCTTCCCAACAGGACAGGGGGAGAAAATAAGCTGGAAAAGCTGGAAAAAGAAGGGCAGGTCCAGTTTTGTGGCTTAAACCTCCTATAAAGGAGCAGAGCATTTGGGATGGATCAACATTGTTTCCTTGGAGTCAATGCCCTTTGTTCAAGTTTGACTCCCTTGTTTGTTTCATTTTCTTTATGTTTGATGTGTACCTGGTGGATTTTTCCGGTGTACCAGTACCTGCTTATGATTTTCAGAATAAATAGAATAAATCCTGCTAGGTTTTTCTTTGCTTTCAAGTGTCTGACCCTTAAATGCGTATTTTATTTCACATTCTGCTAAAACAAAATGTTGATGTATATGAGGGGAAAAATGCAAAAAGGTCATTGCTGACAAATCTGTATTTTTTCCCACTTATAAAGTGTCAGAGGAGAAAATACACAGGACTGAAAACATTCCTGATTTAACTTCTTTTGTCTTACATGGGTAGCATTAACCAGCCTTTGAAGCTTTGGCCTGTTAGAACGTGAAAATAGATTTATACAATTAGAACCATTATTCTGCAGCAGCATCTGCAGCAGCACAAGCTGATCTGAAACGATTTGGTAATTAGTCTGGAGCGTGGCATGGGATGGTGGGGGTCATCCAGGCAGCTCCACGCTGCCTAATGAAGGGTGGGAAAGAAATCAGTAAGAAGCAGAATGTAAAGCAGAGTGTGAAATGTGCAGAGAGGCACTCCTCTGCATGCTGAGCAGGCGCCTGAGCTTCCACAGATGCTGCCACACATGAAAAAGTCACTGAGGCTCTAAATCGGGTTTTGTGCTTGGTTTGCAGTGAGGACAGGGTAATCGAGCATTACAGACAAATTAAAGGTCTGACCAGAGGACAAGCCATTGTTCAGTGAGTATGACACTTGTTAACTTGTCAAGATGATATTTTTACTTTCCTTTATTTCGTTTTTGTTGAGTAATGCCAGCACAGGATGTTCTGGTCATTACTGCATGCAAGCTTTACCATTTGCATCTGTGGGGTTTGTTTCTGATTGAGTTATATTGCAAAGTGAAGTTATTTGAAGTTTTATTTTCACAGGCTGGCAGTGAAGGTTGTCTCTTTACATTTTCAGATACCTCAAATATAAAAGCAGTTATCTGGACCTTACTTTGTTGGAAGACTCTTTTCTGTACCCTGCTTGCTTATCAATTAGTTTTCACACCAAACTCTTAAGGGCAGGTATTACTTTAGCCCCAGTAAAAAACCAAATGCATGTTTGTTGACATGTTCAGAATTTGGCTTTCAGAAGAACAAGGTCTCCCAAGATGCATACAGAGCCTGTGCAACTTTATTTTTAATTCACTGTTAATATTACTGTACTTCCTACAGGCAAATGCAGTGTGCTGTGTTTGAGGTGATAGCCATGGTTCTACAATGTAGGCAACTTGTTTCCCTCATGTACCTCGATGCCTGTAACTGCCTCAATAATTCAGGGGCTTCTTTCAAGAGGAACAAGGGAAAAAGTTGACTGAATTGCCTCATGAAACAGTGGTACAACTGCGTAAACACTTTCATTTGGAGCCTGTCCATTGCAACCAGAGCACCATAATGGAATAATTATGAGCAAGTCTTTACTATCAATATTTCCCAAAAGGCTCATCTGCTAAGTTCAGAGTCTTTACTTTGGTTTTGACCTTCTGATAGGAGAATGAATATTTTGCAGTATGAGAGATTTTCCATTTGCTTTAGCTGCGCCAAAATATCACATCTTTCCTTGAGCCAGGATGCTAAGTTTTTATCTGAAAACTTGGGCCTTCAATTATTAAGATCTTCAAAATATGATAAATGGTAAATGACATGTCCTGAATGTATGTGTGAAAAAAATATGTTAATAGATGTTGTTCCCTCCAGAGAAAATGATCTGATACGCTATAAATCTGTCTATAGGTACATGAAAGTTGTGGAAGCTTTGCCAGCATATGGAATTCATTACTATAAAGTAGAGGTTAGTAAATGCCCATAGATAGTGTGATTGCTCAGCTTATTGCCTGTGATTACACTCCTGTAGGAATAGTTTGATGATTCAGTACCCTTCTGTCAGTATTAAACTCTGCATTTTTCAACCTCTGTAATTTTCCCCTTTCATTATTCTTTAAGAATTGTTTCCAGAGAGCAGCAAAATATTATGTGCTACAGAAAATGGAAAGGAATCTTTGTAAAACCTTTTCTAATCCTATCAGGAGCTAAATTCTTGTCTTAATTAAACTGGGTTACACTGCTAGATACAAAGCAGTTAATAGTTTCCCCAGAGACATTTCTAGTCAAGATTAGGAAAAAAATAAAGTATAGAAAAGACAACTTCGAATGGCAGGTAACTAGTGGAGAAATGCTGAGAAATACTTTTGGAGGCTGATGGAAACACACTGTTTATTCCCATTTGTAGAGCAGAGCCTGGGCCAAAGTGCTTTGTGCAGAAGAGCTCAGCAGAGATGATGTCTCATTTCTTTAAGTCATGGCCATGACTGGGGTACCCAAGAAGCTGATGTTTTGTGCTGTTCTCTGCTCCTGTGGCTGTCTGTGCCTGAATTTAGTGGATGCAGTCATTGGCCACGGTTTTTTCTGTCCCATATCCTTTCCCCCTCACAGCCACTCCTGCAATGAGTGACACCACAATGTTTCAGCAGCACTGTAGCTTTTCTTTCATCCACTGTGCACAACCACCACCCAGTTTCTTACCTCTGCCTCAGAAGGCAGGGGGAGAAAGTTCCCACATTCACTCCAGCAATCCACTCCATATAGATTTGTTTGCAAAACAATCCGTGTTCTGTACCTACTTGTACTTGTCACAGAAAGAAATGGGCTGCAATCCTGTATTGTGTCATTCTTAAGTAGCTCTTGGTTCATGTAGATGTCCATTTTTCAGGATAAACGAAGAATCCTGTGGTGGCTTGGAATAAATTACAAAGGAATAGGCCAGTACGACTTACAAGACAAAGTTGAACCCAGAAAAGTAAGTTCTTTTCATCTGATTTATTTTTTGAGGGGTAGGTGGGATGGTGTTACATGTCAGAGTAAATGACCAAGGTTTGGAGGCTAAAGGAGAATTCCACTGGCACTGAGACAGTAGCAGTCCCCTCACACAGATAGTGAAAACTCCCTTTGGGAGCTTTGGCTTATGTGTTGTCTTGAGTTTGTCTCAAGAAAGTCTGGACAGGAATTTTGGCAGCCTGCAGGGATAACTGTCAAAGTATGAAGCAACTGGGTTTCTGCAAATCCAAACCTAAAGGTCTTGTACTCAAGCAATGTTTTCACTTGGCTTTCATAGGTGTTTTTTGTGTGTGAAGTGATAAAAGGCTCCACTGATATCTGTGAAATACAAGGGGAACTGCTGGAAGCTGCAGGCCTGCTTAGGCAACTGTATGTTTCCATGATGCAGTGAATTGTAAGAAGGATTGAGAGAAAATGACAAATACTGGAAGTTGCTCTTCTCTTTTTCCACCCCCTTGCTCTCCTTCAGAGTGAGCTCTGCCAGCAGCCTCCTTTGTTGTTTAAACAGGGCGGAGGGTCTTGTATTGCACTGCTGGCTCCCTCAAAGCCCCCATCAGCAAGCCCTACAGGCTTCTGCTGCCAGTCTTGGAAACCCATCATGCAGCTCAAGCACACGATGTGTTGGGAGCTTGCCCAGTCCTGTAGCTGCATTCATCTCCCTGTGACAGGGCTGAGCCCTAAAAGTATTTGAAGTGCTATCTAACCCACTTGGCTGTGGGTAAGAACCAGGACTGCACGTGTGGGAGCCACGCTGTTGGTCTGTGTGGTTTCTTTCTGGTCATGTCTTCATTGAAACGTCTGAGGTGTGAGGAGATGAAGACCTTGGGTTTTGCTGTTGTTCTTCTCCAGGAATGATCTGGGCAGAAGTTCACATGAAGTGTGTGCTTCCTGCCAGGGAATTTTACATTTCCAAAATGATATTGTTTAGCGTGTTTGTGCCAAAAAACACAGATTAAGAAAACTTCCTTCTTAAGAATAATTCCCCTTCATGCTTCCAGCTTGGTCATCTTTTTTTCCAGAGCAGGCTATGACTTGGTTCCTTATGGTATATTTATATACCTGTGTGTCCAAGGTTGAACTCATATGTCCTTACTTTGTTTAGTAAAGCAGAAAGTTTCATCCCAAGCCAGTTTACCACACCTGTTCCACATGACAAAAGGGGAACCCTAGAAAACCAAGTCAACGTTAATGCAGCCATTGATTGTCAAATGAAGGCATCAAGGAGGTACTCTTGCTCTTCAGCACTGCTTTTAGGCAACATCTACAATATTTTCTGGTCAGGTCAAACACATACCGTTCTCTAGCCAAGCTGTCCAGCTGTGACCATCAGTGCTGTCCAACAAAGTGCAGCCTGCCTGGCTAGAAGCATTGCTTCACCAAGCAGTTTTTGTGCTTGCGGGATTTCAGTTTACAACATCAACCAGGCAGATTAAGAGAAGTTTTTAAGGTCAGCAGGGCCCAGATGCCAAATCACACCCTGTACAGTTAGTGACAAGGCGTTGCCTTTGAATTGGGCTGTGTTTAAGAAAAAAATAAAAGCCAAAGCTCACCTCTGCAGTGGAAGTGTTACAGTGGAAATTATAACAGTTGTCTGCTTTACTGTAGTATACAATAGGGAATAGTGATTAAAAGGAAAGGTGGAAGAGAGGAGCCTGAATGCCAAGGGAATGTTTAATGCCAGTAATGTGGTTGTAAAAGTGGGTCTGGATATGGCTGTAGTATCCTTATGGGTTCGTGTCTGGTGTCAACACGAGGGGACAGAAATTACTTAAGCCCATGGGTTGTCCTGAGTCATGACAACTTGTAATGTATGGCTAAATATGCAGACAATTTCTTTATACAAAAGATGAGTTTCAGGGTTTGAAATATAAAAGGCACTTCTGACATGATCCATAGAAGTAATGGGAATCAGATCACCTTCAGAGGAAAAGCAGATGCTGGGTGTAGAGAGACACCCACATTCAGACTTGGTTTTGGAGTTAAAATGTTAGATGCTGCTGTTTATTTCAGTGATGCAGCACACAGAAGTTTCCCTTAACCAGTAGTGTTGTTTTGTATCAGAACACATTTCAGAGAGAGAAGAGTCTGTATAGCTTGCCTGAATCTCTTGAGGAGTTTAGCAAGCACAATCCTTTTCCAAAGCAGCAGGCAAGAGAGGAGTAGGCATGTAAACTATGCCTGTCTCTTGGAGCAGAGATGCCAACTTCTGCTGGATTTAGCAGAATTTTCTTGCTTTGCTTTGCAAGATGAAGCCGAACTCATAACTGCCATGTGCTGGTGTTATCCGGGTGTTTATACTGTGGATCAAAAGTGCTGTTTGTTTATCCCTAGCCATCTGGGAAAGAGCATCCTTATTGTGCATTTTTTCAGTTAGTGATGTTTAAATATACAAGCAGCTGATTAACACAATGAAAGGGAAAGGCTGAGTCCCAAGTCTAAGGGAGGCTAAGCTGGTCTTTCCTAATTTTAAAGATACAAGTGATCTCTGGGTGTGCAAACCTCTCTGATACCAGCTGCAGTGTGAAAGCTGCTGAGGTTCAGGTGGGAGGCTTTGAGCAGGAATTGGTGACTGTGCTTCAGCTGAGTTCACACCAGGGGGGTTTATTTTGCTCCCTGTGTATTTTCTGTAGTGCTAATTTGCTTAATGTGTTCATCACAGGCATTTGGTAAGAGCCAAGTCCATATTCAGAATAAGATTTAAAACATAATAATAATAAAAAATATATATAAAATTAACTGTACTCATTAATGCAGTGTCAGCTGAATCCCAACAAATAAAACCATCCTCCACAAAAAGTGGAATCTTTCGGCTTTATCGAAGTAGGTCTTTAGGCAAAGAGACCTAAATATGAGCCTTGGAGCGCAGTGGTTATCCCAAGATTTTGTTATTGGATCAACAGTGTTGTGTGAAGTCCAAGGCTGAGAACTCTTCACAGGAAACAACTTGTAGGACAGACCTGGATGAAGCAATCTCCAGATTGGTATCGCCCAGCCTTGCCAGTGCTTGCGCATGTACTGTCAGTCATCCATAGGAGAATGTGTGTTGTTGGAGAGGACAGTGTGTTAACTCAGGGTTGGACCAGGAGAACCTGCCATGGCTGTCTGTCCATGCAAAGCTGGCTGGGGAGGTCTGAGCCTGGCTATTAATATTTTGCTGGTTGACCCAAGATGGGTTGGAGGAGTAAGTCACTGCTGAAAGCTTGTATTGCTTTGGAAGTGGTTTCTAGCAAATCAAGCCCTTGGTGTACTCCTCACCTGAGACTTCGAGCTGACAGGCACCAAAGGAAGGATAGTGCTCCACCTCTGGAATAGACTGAAAATGAAGAATTATTTTTTGTGTCATTTATGAAAATTGTCTTTTTCTATGTAGATAAAAGTGGTGACTCTGCACTGGCTGGAGATTACACTGAGCACAGCTGACTATAATCCTCATAGGGCATAAGAAAGACTGGGTTTGGCAAGCCATGTTCAGATTTCAGCTGGGATTAACCCTGCAGTTCTGCTGCTTTGCAAACATTCTCCCTTCAGATGCAGAGATGCCTTCTGCTTGGAGAAATGCCTCCTGCTTGCTGTGGGGTGGTATGCCAAGATCCTGTCCCCAGTCTCCTCTGAATCAATTAGGAAAAGCATAAAGCAGGTCCCAGGACTTCATTTGTTGTTTCAAAACACAATGGATCTCCCTTGTATCTCTGTCGCTATCCTTCTCATGGGTGAGATAAACAGTGTGTCGTCTTGTTTATGGAGCATGTACTAGGGTATGAATTGAGTTTATTCTGCATCCAGCCAACATGTGGTGATCCTCTGAGGGATGGGAATTTGAGAAGGCAGCTTGCTGGCTTTTGGAATTGTTCTCCCACTTCATTGTGTTTCTGTGGGTAACTCCCTGGTAATAAACGAGCTATAATATCTGAAAAGAAGGACTTATCTTGCTATGGTATTGTTTCAAATTTACAAAGATTTCAATTCTGCTGCTGGTTGTCTTGAATACGTTATGTTCTCAGAAGTGTTTTTGTTAGAGTACACTAGTTTTGAAATGGGTAATATTTATCATAGAATGTTTTGGGTTGGAACAGACCTTAAAGGTCATCTATTTCGAGCCCTCTGCCACAGGCAGGGACACCTTTCAGTAGAGCAGGTTGCTCCAAGCCCTGTCCAACCTGGCCTTGAACACTGCCAGGGATGGGGCAGCCACAGCTTCTCTGGGCACCCTGTGCCAGTGTCTTACCACCCTCACAGGGAAGAGCATCTTCCTAATATCTAAATCTGCCTCGTTCAGTTTAAAGTCATTCCTCCTTGCTTATCCCTACATGCCTTTGTAAAAGCTTTCTTGCTGTCCCACTTCAGGTACTGAAAAGCTGCACTAAGGTCTCCCCAGAGCCTTCTCTGAATAAGCTAAACAAGCCCAGCTCTCTCAGTCTGTCTTCATAGGAGAGGAACACCTCTACGTGCTTCCTGGACAAAAGAGGGCTCTGAGGAGAGCAACCATCCAGGCTGTTCCTTACCCACCAAGTGGTTCATCTATTAAATTGATGTCTCTCCAGTATAGAGACAAGGATGTCATGCAGCATGGGTCCATTAGTCATTAGTCCAGGCAGATGGCATCAGTTGCTTTTCCCTTACCCACCAACACTAACCCCAGTGTAAAAGGCTACTATATTTGTCAGGCACAATTTGTCCTTAGTGAAGCCCTGTTGGCTGTCACTAGTCACCTCCTTTTTTTCAGTGTGCCTTAGTATAGTTTCAGGGAGAATCTTCTCCATGCTCTTGCCAGGCACCAGTGTGAGACTGACTGGTCTGTAGTTTGCTGAGTCTCATTTGTTTTCCCTTTTTAAAAATGAGGGTTGTGTTTCCCCTTTTCCTGTCAGTGGGAATTTCACTGGACTGCCATGACGTCTCAAGTATGATGGATAGTGGCTTACCCACTTCTTCCACTAGTTCCTTGGAACTGTGGATTCATCTCAT